AATTTCACTCACAGGGCAGCTTGCCAAACAAGCCCAAGAGAGAGTAGTGAGTACTCTGATTTAGTTCAGTCCGTTAAGCCCATGGCAGCCTGCACCAGCCCACTACTGCAAAAGGCAATCAAATAATGGGTACTCAGCCACTTTCGGGGGGGTGGGGGCTGACTGGGGAAGGGGCTCTCTGGAACCGTTCAAATGGAGCCAACTTGGTAGCTTTTTAGGGTAGTTCTGAGAGCTGGAGACAGGTAAGGAACCTGGGGAGCAACAGCTTAATTAACGGAACTACAGGGAAAGAGGCAGCAGAGGAATCTCTCAGAGAACCAGAGGGTTTTGTGTGTGTGATGAGCGAAAGGATACAACTAGGTGCTTGAGTACTGCCGGCTAGGAACCAGCATTGAACAGCAGATGCCTAACTCAGCATGGCAAGGACCAGCTTAGCACAGAGACTAGAGAGCAGGATGCACAGGATAAATTTAGCCTACGTTTCAGGGGAAAACATCGATCTCAAATGTAGTGCTGTCTTTTAAAAGAAAGTGGAAGCCTTAGGCCAGTCATTTGGGACAATTTTACTTGAACAGCTAAAAGCCCAGGAAAAACGAATGCTCATAACCAGCTCATCCTGCTAGCATACCCGCAGGATCTTCCCTCTGCAGGAGGGCAGCTGGTGTCTGCATGGGCCTGACGGATGGTCCACCCTGCCGCCCTTACCTGTTCCCAAGAAAAGGTGCTGCTTTATTTTCTGGAGAGATTTGAGGTTTCTTTTTCTGATCCCAAATGTTCATCTTCATGAGGAATGACGGGGGGGCCCAAACTCTGCATTTGCTTGGCTGCTGATCCAGGACACTGGCATCTGATGGGTTGTATCTGTCAGAGCAAGGCCAGTGCCAGCCCCTTCTCTGTGGTCTAGAAAGTGAACAAAAGACATCAGTTACTGGTGTCTGTAGATAGAGTTGTTTGTTTGTTTTTAACCAGGTCTCCTGTAGCATTCACACAGCATCCTGAGCATTGTTTCTACCTGGTCAAAGCTAAGGGCACCACCGAGGTCCCAAACAATAGAACACCTGTCATGACGTTCCCACAATCTTGCCCATCAGGTGGTGACAGCATCTTTCCTGCAGCCTCCCTCTGATGCTGCTCCCCTGTGTGAAAGGGGAAGAAAGTCCAGCCTGTCAATATTTGGGGCACTAATCATCTGCATTCGGGCGCCAGGGGTCATTGAAAGGCTGAGACGCTTCCAGGAATTCATGGCTCTAAAACTGTGAGGCTGACCGGAAAGGATCTCCAGCGAGGGTATGAAGCAAGAAACCCAAATCTCCACTCCACCCCCACCCCGCAGCCTCTGAGCGTTGTGCACTGTGTCTTGGATTCTTGGGAAGAAATGAAGTCAATGCACATAGTGATGTGGGTCCAAGTTAATAATAAATGTAGAGGAAGGAGAAAGGATGTTCAATATTTAAACATTGCAGAGCGCTGTGTTGGTTTGCCAGTTACTGCCCCCCGCCTGCTTCCTGGATGGGTTCTGTAAAATGGAGCCTTCCTTCCCCAACTCTGCAATTGGCATCTGACACCGGCGATTTACATAGAAAGGGAAATGATGCCTTTTCTAGGTAGCCCCCACCTCACCAGCAGGACTCCTTCTCGTTTTCTGTTGCCTTTCTTGAAGGAAGAGGATGACAATGTAGAAACTAAGGTTTTTATGACCCCTGGAGCACTTGTGAGGAGTTGACAGCTTTAGGGTCATGTCCAGAGTTGTCTTCATTTTCCCAGATTTGCTTCTTTGAAACTGCCTTATATTTTAACATAAACGTTGTGCTTTGGTTCTTACCTCTAACAGATTAAAAAGGCTAAACAATGAAACATATGATGCGATGTGTTTAAGAAACATTGCTCTAAGTATACATACTAGATACGTTCCTTAAAAGTTGCCTGTAATGCAGAATTCTGTGAATCAATTCCTCTTTTCTTCTTGACACACATTATAGAAAAGGAAAAGCATTCCTTTGGGGGGAGGGAAAAACATTTGGCCCCGAGACATAATAAAATCATGCTTAAGAATGCAGCAAACTTTAAAGTCTCTTAGTTAAAGGAAATCAATACTTTTATGATAAAATATTAATAATACTAAAAAAATAAGGCAAAACTACAAATGCAGAATAGCCAGGGTGATTTTTAATGTTGGACACATCAGCTTAGCATCTGTAAGGAGGAACAAAGGGAAAAGAAAGCAAACCTAGCCCATATGAGAAGCGCTTTCAGTTCCTAGTAAGTCCCTTTTTGTGAATTTTCTGTCAAGAAGACACATACCTCCCCATAAGTGCCAACCTTATTTCCAAGCATTTTGTTGAAACTACCGATTTTGGAAATGAAAGGATGAATGTAGCTGGAGGAAGGAACACACACAGGTGTGTACACACGCACACTCCTGCACACACAAGCGCAGACAGGGCAAAGAGAAATGGAGAATTGGGGAAAGCCATTTATTTGTTTGAATACACTGCTGGCTGTTCCCTCCATCCCCATCCTCCATGAATTGTTCTGGTGGAGATCTTTAAGAGGGTTGGACTTAGAGTAGATTGAACCATATGAAATGGCTGTTTCTGTAGGTCAGGTTAGTTGAATATTGGCAGTTGCATATGGTCCAAGCTCATCCATTCAACTCTCTATCAAAGAAATGCAAACAGAACAGTCATGTGTCTTGAATGCAGTGTAACATGAGGTGTTTTAAGAATCTAGATGAAAATAACTTTAGGCCGGGCGCGGTGGCTCAAGCCTGTAATCCCAGCACTTTGGGAGGCCGAGATGGGCGGATCACGAGGTCAGGAGATCAAGACCATCCTGGCTAACATGGTGAAACCCCGTCTCTACTAAAACATACAAAATATTAGCCGGGCGTGGTGGCGGGTGCCTGTAGTCCCAGCTACTCGGGAGGCTGAGGGAGGAGAATGGCATGAACCCGGGAGTCGGAGCTTGCAGTGAGCTGAGATCCGGTCACTGCAGTCCAGCCTGGGCGACAGAGCGAGACTCCGTCTCAAAAAAAAAAAAAAAAAAAAAAGAAAATTATTTTTCTCATAAACGATTTTCATATAAATCCCTTAAACCTACATATTTAAAGTTCCTTTAGAAATGCTCTCTCGTGTCTCACTTTGTTAACTCCTAAAACCTTCAGTCATAACAGCTAATGTGAGGAACAGCTAATATTTTGTGTCTCATTCTTTTCTCCAAAGAACTGGGCCATTTCTTTTGCTACATACCCCTTTGTCTAAAGACACTTATAAAAATGAAAATCCCAGGACAGGCTTGGGGGCTCACACCTGTAATCCTAGCACTTTGGGAGGCCGAGGCGGGTGGATCACCTGAGGTCAGGAGTTCGATACCAGCCTGGCCAACATGGTGAAATCCCGTTTCTACTAAAAATACAAAAAAATTAGCCAGGTGTAGTGACAGTTGCCTATAATCCCAGCTACTTGGGAGGCTGAGGTAAGAGAATCGCTTGAAACCAGGAGTTGGAGGTTATAGTGAGCTGAGCTCGTGCCATTGTACTCCAGTCATGGTGACAGAGCGGGACTCCATCTCAAAAAAAAAGTAAAAAAAAAAAAAAAAAACCCATCTCTACAAAAAATAGAAAAATTAGCCAGGCGTGGTGGTGTGCACCTGTAGTCCCAGCTACTCGGGAGGCTGAGGTGGGAGGATCACCGGAGCCTGGAGAGGTCAAGAGGCTGCAGTGAGCCGGGATCATGCCACTGCACTCCAGCCTTGGCGACAGAGTAAAACCCTGTCTCCAAAAAAAAGAAGAAAATCCCAGTTATTGCCTCATTGGGCCCAAGTTCCAGGCACCATAAATTCCAGCCAAGGAGTCAAAACAGCAAGTGCTACCTGAACATTCAGATTGCTTTAATGCTTTCATCCTCACGAACCCTGTAAAGTGTGGTGGTGTCTCTCTGTTTTAGAGTGACAGCAGTGCTTTAGAGGACACAGGCTCATGGGGTCATCAGGTCCCCTGCTGTCACATGCCCAGACCCGTGGTACTCTCCTCACCGCTGTATCTTGTAGCCAGAGTAAAAGTGACAGGCCTAAAGCCAAGGAGCTGTTCTTAAGGTTTCTCCCCTGCAGATAGCAGAAGGCTCGTGTCCAGCCATCTGGTCGGCCATGTCCCACAGCTCTGCCAGGGCAGACGTCGACAGAGCCCTGTCCACTTAACAACCGCAGCTGTGGGCTTCTGAAGCTTGTTCTGTGCTGATATCCATCGCTGCCTTTCTGTGGCTCTGCACATACTCCCTGATTCTATCTGACTCACATAGTTCCAGATAGTATCTTCAGTTCTTGTTGTAGATAATGTGTCATAGAACGTCATCAGCTGTCGGTCTGGCCTAGCCCCAATCTGTTAAAACACATGGTAGGAGAGACTTTGGTGAGGTGGCCCAGCTACAGAAGTTAACCACTCCACCCTGCAAAATCAGAGTCCTGGCGAACACAAGCAAATGGAATGGGACCACAGGAGTGCTGCTGTCTGCCTTGGGCGCATACTAAGTATGTGTCAACTACACATGCCTTTTGCAGAGAATCAAGTCTAATTCCCTGGCCCCTTTGTACAGTGCCACCTCCTAGAACACATGGAGCAGGCCGAACATGTCAGTGTAGGATACACACCGCACCGCCTCCCCGCTTCTGGCTGAAAAGGTCAAAACGGGGCTAATGGGATAAGAGACTTGTTAGGGAAGAATCTGGCACTCCTGGCCGGGCACGGTGGCTCACACCTGTAATCCCAGCACTTTGGGAGGCCAAGGCGGGTGGATCACCTGAGGTCAGGAGTTCAAGACCAACCTAGCCAACATGGTGAAACCCTGTCTCTACTAAAAATACAGAAAAATTAGTCGAGCATGGTGACACATGCCTGCAGTCCCAGCTACTTGGGAAGCTGAGGCAGGAGAATCACTTGAACCCAAGAGGCAGAGGTTGCAGTGAGCTGGGATTGCGCCACTGTACTCTAGCCTGGGTGACAGAGTGAGACTCTATCTCAAAAAAAAAAAAAAAACATAAAAAAAACTAATGTGGCGCTCCTTGGCCAGCCAGAACCTTGGGGGGCCATCCTTTGCAAGCAGGGCCATAGTGACCCACCCCACTCCTGGTGCATTCCTGATTCCACTCCAGCTGGGGTCAGTGAGCGCCTGTGCCTGGGAGTCTCCTGGGCGTTGTCTAACCCGCCTTCCTCCTGCTGCCGTTTCAGCCCTGCTGACTGCCTCTGTAGAGAGGCAGCCCAGATGGCCGCTCCCAAGCTTGCTAGTGCCTTGGCTGAGAGACTGTTGTGGAGCTCTTTGCTGGCTAATTTACAGACGGTAATACCAGTGGAAGAGGGCAGGGGCTGGGCAAGGCAGGGACGGGGTCCTTGGGAATCAAGCCCAGCCCTGACGACCTTCAGTTCTAGAAATCCAAAGCAAGGTTGCATCACTGCGAGAGATTCCAAGATCTGGTCCACTTGTATCCCTCGTGTGCCAGCCAACCCTCTGTGGCATGGATAGGTGCTCATGTAAAATGCACGCATTCCTCACATTCAGACAGCCCAGATGCCCCCCTCCCGGGTAGCAAAAGAGGCATTAAGACTTGGTGCTCCCCGTGGGTGGCAGCCTGCACAGGCAGACCTTCACCCACTGCAAAAACATTTCTAAGGGCACAATTAGGACAGAAATGACACAGAGAGAAAGCAAGATACTGAAAGACCATTTTTTCTTTTCTGCAGGTTTTCAAGGATAGTGCTTAAAATGTGAGAGGATTTATCCATGGATAAAGAGCTATAGGCTAAAAGATTCTGCAATTTCCCAGCTATTTTTGTATGTTGGACATGTTATCCCTTGAAAAGCAACCAGAAATAAAAAGTCTTTAAGCATTGTGAGGTGCAGCCCAGTCAGTGATGTGGGGGTCGCCCATGGTGGCGGCTCGGGCTTGGCCCAGAGAGACCGTAGGAACGTCCCTTCCCCAGGTGCCTGATGTGTAGATGTGCCCGCTGGGCTGGACAGGAAGTGGCTTCTTCAGCACCAGTGCACAGGAAGAAAATCAGATATCACTATTTGGGGGCAAGTCCTTCATTGCCCCGAAAGCACAGAGTTTTGTGCACTGAAACAGTAAATCATTTGAGACTTATTAAAGGGATACTGAAAAGGGGGTCTCTATGCAAATATCTGAAGCTTTCCCAAACTTCAGGGTCCTAGCAGTGAGGGAGGAAACTTCTGGGGGCCCCCAAGGCTCCTGCAGGCCCTTGGAGTCACTGCCATCTGAACCCTGCCCACATGTCAGTAGATGCTTTTGTTTTTGTGTAGATTCCTAAGAGGAATCGCGGGCAAGGACCCAGGCCTCACCTGGCCCATGTGGGTGTGCTGTTGCTAGACCTGAATCTGAACCCTGCTTCCTCAGCCCCCAACACGTGCTCTTTGAGCAGCCGTGGGTAGTTTGGGCCCTGTGCCCTGTCTTCCTAAGGTGGCCTTCCTAGGGTAGCCCCCTACTGAGTAGCTCCTAGACCCGGCCCGCCCTCGGGCATTGCTGTCATCTTGCCGGCGGTAGGATCCAGAGCCACTCCTTGAGTCAGAAGCACGAACGAGAAGGTTCTATGTCACCTGCAGATCTTTCTAGTAAGCCGCAGTCTGTCCAGAGCCACCAGCAGCTGAAGTCCCAGACTTAGTCACCTCCCAGCCCCCCATCTCTCGCCCCAGGGACCTGGCAGGCTGCACTGAGAGGTGAAAGGGCAGATCCAAGGAAGGAGCTGGCGAGGGGAGAAATAAGGCCATGCACACTTTTGCTGTCTTCAGTTTGTGTGCGAGGTCACAGGGCCGATTGATTTTTTTACTGTTTCCCAGTATCGTGATGGGTGGTGAGAAAATATGAACGCTGCATCGTCAGAAACCTGAGCCACAGCCTCGGAATGAATTTGCTAATGAAAGGCAAGCTCAGGGCGCCCATGCCTCATGGTCCTCATTCACTGCAGAGACTGTGGAAAATGCATGGGTTGCTTCTCCTGAATCAGCCCTCAGCGGGTTTTATGTTATGCTTTGCAATCTGCAACAACCATAAATAAGTGTAGGTTTTTCTTAGGGCAGGCAGCTCTCCTGTCCAAATCTTAGAGCTTTTTCCTAAAAGAGGTCTATTGAAAACTGGACTTCTTTGACACACCTCTAACTGAGACTTAAATGTCTTGGTCTCATACCTCAGACTCAAAAGCCACCCATCTCCAGAGTTTGGTCAAGGAGGCCCCAAGGTACGACAGACACCCTGGGGTTAAAAACAGAGGCTGGAGACCGGGTGCAGTGGCTCACACCTATAATCCCAGAACTTTGGGAGGCTGAGGGAAGAGGATCACTTGTCAGGAGTTTGAGGCCAGCCTGGCCAACATGGTGGCCCGTCTCTACTAAAAATACAAAAATTAGCTGGGCATGATGGTGCACGCCTGTAGTCCCAGCTACTCGGGAGGCTGAGACAGGAGAATCGCTTGAACCTGGGAGGCGGAGGTTACAGGGATCCAAGATCGTGCCACTGCACTCCAGCCTGGGTGACAGGGCGAGACTAAATAGTGAAACTCCAATTTATACATGAGATGACAGAGCTCAGAAAAATAAAAAAGGCTGGAGACCCCTCTGGTTGCATACAAACGGCTTGGCTTGGCTGGCTTAGGGTTATCCACTTCTTAATTTTCAAAAGGAGTATAAATGAAGCTGTCAACATTTTCAAAATCAGGAGGCGTTATGTCAAAATCCAGATATCCAGCTTTTCTTGAAGAACTGGAGTCTGTGACCATACTGAGGTCCATGTTCTCATGCAACAGCAGTTAGAAGCTGGGATCTGGGCTTTCTGGTTTGCCCCAGTCTGTACCAGTCCCTGCCATCTCCCTGACACAAAAGCTGAATGTCCCATGGACTGCATGTATTAGCATGCCTGCACTGTTGTTTTAATAGAAGAGAATGGTTTCTCAGTGTGCATGTGTCTATTAAATAAGGGGAAACAGATGACAGATAGGACCACCAGCGTTTTACCTCCAGCCCCTCATTACATTACCTGGCTGGCCAGCCTTGCCCTGTCTGTGATTTTCAAAAGTGGGATCCACAGAAGTGTCTAGAAAGGGGAGGGGCAGCCCCTCCTTGGTAAGGCACCATGCCAGCCCAGGCAGTTCCATTTTCATCTCATGTATAAATTGGAGTTTCACTATTTAGAAAAAATATTTGAAAAGGGCCGTCGTAGGGCATTATCTTTGCAGAATGAGGTTCCATCTGCAGTCAGGCAGGTGTATCTCCCAGGAAGCTGCTTTTAAAGACATGCCCCAGGAGGGTTTCATGGGACAGAAACCTTGCGGGTGAATTGGTGTGTCATGTAGGTCACCTGTTTTTTTGCCTGTGGTCTTAGCTCCTAGGAAGCTCAGAGTTAAATGGTGACATTAGCTTCCCGTAGCTTAAAGTCTTTCTGATATAACTTTTCATCTTTTATTGTTCAGCTCTTATTTACTTTTTGTTTTAGTAGCTTTCAGTATTTAGTATCTATGGCATTTAGGCTTGGGTTTTAAAATATAAGCCATCTCACACCCTTCCTGGAAACAGGTAGTATGTAAGTACATCTGTAGGGGATGAGGCTGCAGGGTGAGGTTAGCGCTTTTGAGTAGAGTGGAGAATCCCCACATTGAATTCAGAGCCAACTGGGTTCGTTCCCTTTCAGCTCCCTGAAAGGTCCCTGTGGAATCCCCTATAAGCTCAGGTAGTTTTCACATCTTCCAAGGGTAGATTTTTTTTTTAAGCCTGAAATAGTTGCACTTTAGTCACATGGCCAGTATCCTCAGAGTAATTACCATACACGAAGCAGCACCAACTCCAGGCAGGCCACAGAGGTCGGGGGGCTTCCCTGCTCCCTTGGAGATTCAGAAAACCTTTGGTGCAAGCCCACTAGTTTTTGTGCCTGCACACATCCAAGCCCTTCCCACCCTTTAGTCTCTCTTGGGCCTCGCTCTTTCTGGGTCTTAACCGTTGTGTGTAATCTCTGTGGCCAGGTATGAACCCAGACAAAAACTCAGTCCCATCTCTGGTTTCCGCCCAAAAAGTCCACTTGCACCACATGGGAAAGAGTTGACCAAGTGTTTCCTAAAGATTTGAGGGGTCATGGGACGGGTCACCTCCCCACCTCACTTGCCCCTTTCCCTCTTTCCCTTCAGCCCACCACACCTAGATTCCACCCAGTAGGTATAGGGTAGCTTTCTCTGCACCAGAAACCCTGGGAGCCAGCCCGTCCCCTTGTCCCTAGGGGACTTAACTCACATCCCTGCATTAACAAAGTTTTTTCCCTAGCTGTATCAGTTAAGATTAAGTTCAACTACATAGTAAAGATAAATTCAAAGGGAAGTTAATTTCCCTCTTAGGTAAAAGAAGCCTTGTAGTCAAGAGCTACACAAAGGCGTCAGGGACCCAAGCCCGTTCCTTTTCAATGCTCTGTTGTCTCTAATGTGTGATTCATCCTCATAGCTCAGGGTGGCTGCTGGAGTTCCAGCCATCGCATCCATTTTCCAGGAAGCAGAATGGAGGAGGGTATACCCCCTTTCCTTTTAAAGAGCTTTCCAGGAAATCCCACATGCCACATTCGTTTCTATCTCACTGGTCACAACTTAGTCACTTGACACGCCTAGCTTCTGGGTTCTGTAACTGCAGCCAAAAGGGAGAATGGTTATTGAGAGACAGCTAACAATATCAAGAACCCTGTCCACAACCCTCTTCTTTTTCCTTTTCTTTAAGCCTTCCCAGTAAAGTGAACAAAACCCTCTTAACCCAGAGGATTCCAGGTGCTAGCTATTAATGTAATGATAATCATCACACTAAATACCTAAACATCTTTGCAGTCAAATTTCTTATGCCCTACTTAGGTAGGCCAACTCCTACACACCCATCAAGGCCCCAGGGCTGGAGAGAGCTGCTACAGAAGCACTGGGGAGAGAACAGTTAACTCCACCGTATGCAAAGACTCCTCCCAGGCTAATGCTGAGCTGTGTGAGCCATGAAGAATGGGGCAGGGATTTGTAAAGACAGAAAAGAAGCAAAAGAAAACTCCAGACTGAGGAAACAACCTAATAAAAGTTGAAAGCAAGTGGTTCTTGTTAGGAGGTCTGAGGACTGACCTAGGCTGCTGGAGGCAGATCACCATATTTCTACATCCCCACTCCCCCTACACACACCCAGTGATTCTGGGGTTGTAGGAGGGCCTTGACTCGAAAGGTCTCTGGGGGTTCCAACTTCCCTGAGTCCTGTGGATTTGACCAACAATCTAGTCATAAAAAGCAGAGATTATCAACTCAAATGCCCACACGTCCAGGCAAGTTGCAAGAGCAGGGAACCAGCTCTGCTCGTCTCCCTCCCGGTGCTGTCCTGCAGGAATGGGGCCCCATAAAGCCAGATCTTTTCATTTTTTAAGAAACCAGAAATCCAGGTCTGTGCGTAAAAGCTCCCAACGTGTCCATGGTGGTACCTCCAACAAACACACATATAACGTAAATAAGCAAAGCAAAACTCGTGTGCAAGCCCCTGGGCTGCCGCTGGCTGGCTCTGAATCTTGAATCACATGGTAAAGTGATTATTGGTAGGGAAAGCTTAAAGACCCATAGAAGAGGAGGAGGGGGGCGTGTCCAAGGTCTCAGTGTCAGTTTGGGCAGAGCTTGGACTCAAACCTGGGGTTCTGACTGCAAGCCCAGCTTTCCTTCTATCAGTGGGCCTAAAAATAGAAGACTGACCTTTTTGTGGTATTTTAGTGCTTCACAAATGCCAGAGCGTTATTCATTAGTTCATCTTCCCAGAATAACTGGTAGAACACGGCCAGAGGGCAACAGGAAGACTCTGGGCTGCCCCCCATGAAACTGGGGGCTCCTGGGAAGTGGGGGATGTGTCTCACCATGGGCATAGGTCCCCCTGCTGTTGGAGTGGCCTGCCTGGCCCTGCTCTTGGTGAGTCTGGGGAAGAGAGCTTCAGAGGGCAGAACACATCTCAGGAGGATATTAGGATCAGGAGCTTGAGTCTATCCAGTTCCCAGGCAGCTTGTATTTCTTCCATCATCCTCCCTTTTTTTTTTTTCTTTTTGGTTTAACATAAGGTTTATAATAGGAGTCTTGGAAAATTCAGGCAAGAACAAAAAATAACAATTCGCTGCAATATGACTACCTGGTTCTCTCACTGCGTCAGCTTCAGTCCCTCCAGTCTGCTTTCTCTGCTCTGGACAAGGGGGAAAGAGAGCATGAATTTTTTACATGAGCGGGAACATATGGGACATGCTTTTTCTAACTTTTTTTCATTGACTCCATCTTGAGTATTTCCCCCGACGCCTAATCTTCTCTTACCAGCATCTTGGTTGGCAGCAGGAAATTTCATCATCTAGATGGATTAGAATTCACTTAGCCTTTCCCCAACTCTTGGACATACCAGCTGTCTTCTGTCCTCTGTTCTACACACCAATATGCTGAATATCCTTGTAGAATATCCTTGCAGAAATGCATGTGGTTCCACCCAGTGTCGTCTGCAGCATGGGAAACCATGCTGCAGGTGTGGAATTGGTCAGTTGCTGTGAAAGTCCATACAGCCTCTGATACAAGTTTTGCAGGCTGTCCTTGAAGCATACCCAGAGAGAGCCAAGACTGTTGTCACTGGAGAGGATCTCAGGGAGACCTGTTTGCCTGCACCCTTGTTGCACGATCTCTGGCTTGTCTGTGTGTTTGCACTTGCTTGGCAGCCCATGTGTGTTTGATTCATGTACCAAAAGCCTCTGGCACCTCCGCCAAAACTAGTTCATCAAGAACTGCTTGGCTGGGGTGAAGCGGGAACCAGAGGACAAGGCGCTCTGGCCATGGGCGTCCATCCTAAATTCTGCCTAGCGCCCTCCTGATTCTCTGATGTGTTGCCACCTTGATTTGGGGAAAAGCCCCTTGAAATTGCAGGTGGGGGGCCTTGGGCATCCAGCAAAATAAAGAAAAAAAAAGACAAAACTCACTGTGGCTTTCTGGTCTCAGTGCCGCTGGCAAAGGGAGAGAGAGTGGAAAGGAGGGAAGTGGAATTTGTAGTAGCAGCGGGTGAGGGAGAGAGGTGTTCAGTTACCTCTGCTCAGCTAGACCCTGCAAATGGGTGGGATCAGAGGTTGGTGATTTTTTTTTTTTTTTTTTCTGTTTAACTCAGTGCATGCAGATTTTACTGCCAAGCTATGACTTGATCCCAACCCATTCCCAAAATAAAAGAATTTAAGCATCCTGACTGCGGTGCCAGCTTCTCATCTGCTACCCTACATGTCCCACTGCAGATGTCTTTTGATAATAAGCCAGGTGTATGATGCTGTAATAAACCATGGCTTTAAAGAGGGCAAGAGAAAAGACGTGTCTTCTTCGAATGGGCCTGTGACAACCTTGGCAACAGCCGTGTCGTTGATCCATTCTGGCCAGGGCCTTTGTCGGGAGCACACAAGGTGTAATCCCAACTCTGTTACGCCCCTGGCTGGCCCTCTGTTCATGGCCATGATAAATAGGCAGCTCGGGAAAAGCCATCTTGACATTTTGATTTGTTAAGGGGTAATTCATTTTCGAGGCAAGTGAACAGCTTGTAAACTGGGGGGTTTACCGCTCTAAGTGATTAAGAAGTGAGCAGCTATAAAACTGGTTCCACGAGGCTGCGGCTGAGTGTCCCCAAGGAATCTTCCTGCCCAGTGTTTGGATTTGCCGGATGTTTGCTGTAGTTGATCTGAGCGGGGCCCTGACACACACACACACTATATCACATTGTGCCTCTTCCTGAGAACTCCAGCTACATTCATCCTGCCTTTCTCTCCACAAGCAGACCTCTGCGGTAGGTGCGGGCAGGAAATACCCTCCACACAAGAAGAGCTGGTGCTCAGGATGGCCGCCTCGGTTGGAGACATACCCTGCTCCCACCGGGCCCCATGCGCTTGCCATTATAGTCAGTGCTTGTTATGTCACCCCCAAAACCCAACTCGGGGTATAAATAGGGCCCCTGCCTTTTAAGGAGCTGATCTTTAGATGAAAACAGCTTCACATGAACCTGAGTACAAATAGCCCCTCCCTGATGGCCAGGAGAAGAGTCCTGCTAAGCCCTAAGCTGGGGAGACAGAGCCACAGGTCCCATCTGTAGGTGAAAGGAAGGAGGCTGAGGGATGTCAGGGACTTGCCCAAGGTCCCACAGCTGGGAAGTGAGTAGAGGAGGGTTAAATGCCAGACTTCTCTGGTGCCATAACCTGGATGTCGTCCCCTGCACCAGATGGGCACACTGCTTCTGTCTGGAGCCAGGTAACCTGGCAAAAAAGCCTTTTAGGCTTTGCAGGCCATGTGGTCGCTATGGCAACTGCTCAACTCTGCCGCTGATGGAGAAAACAGCCATAGTCTGTGTAAACAAAGGACCGTGGCTTGTTCCAATAAAACTTTACTTACTAAGCAGGCAGCAGGTTGTAGGATACCAACCCCTGCTAACACCCTGCAGCCTTCCTGAGTTTCAAGAAAGGTGAGGTCAGGGCCAGGAGGGCCTTCTGGAAGTGGTGTCAGCAGAGAGCTGGACCGTGCAAGGTTAAGGCAGGGCGGGTGGCATGTATGGGGTCCGGGGCTGGCTGTGGTGAATGCATTCGCTTGAGCAGTGGCTCGTCTTGGGGGAATGACCAGGAGGGTTGAGATCCCCTCTCAGCTGGAAGAAGGACTCGCCCCCCGCCCCACCCCACCCCGCATATCTCCACTGCAGTTTGGGGTGGCTTCTGTACTACGAAGCACCATCACCATGAGTCCTGCTCAGCTCCTAGGGGCTGAAGTTGTGGCCTGCAGAAAAGCAAATGTCCACCAGAAGAGGGGTTACTGGGCCGGGTAAAAGGGGCTTTGATTTATCGTAAAGAACACATCAGCCAAGTGTGGTGGCTCACACCTATAATCCCAGAACTTCGGGAGGCCAAAGCAGGAGGATCACTTGAGTCCAGGAGTTCAAGACCAGTCTGGACAATATAGTGGGACCCCCGTCTCTACAGAAAAAAAAATGAGTTGGGCGTGGTGGCACATCCCTGTAGTCCCAGTTGCTCGGGAGGCTGAGGCGGGAAGATCACTTGAGCCTGGGAGCTCAAGGCTGCAGCGAGCTGAGATCACACCACTGCACTCCAGGCTGGGCAACAGAGTGAAACCCAATCTCAAAAAAAACATAAAGAACAAACATGTATACTGAGCTGTCACCATGTGCCACACCCTGTGCTGGAGTGTGATAATAGTTCTCTCATTTTATTCCCACAATAGTGGAGGTAGGTAATGCTACCGCCAGGTTGTGGCTGGGAAAGACTCAAAAGAAACACTATAGCTGTTCATGTGTCTGGTGCTTCTGTGTGGGAAACAGGGGTGCACCCAGGTCTGAGTGTCTCCAAATGAGGCTTGTCCATCCCTGCTGGGTCAGTTTACCACAGAAACATGCGGGCACACTCCACCTCCAGGTCCCGGAGATGCTGAGGGCCATTTGAGACCATCATCACTAGCTGTTTGCCAGAGCTTTCATTGTTCCTGAACCTGACTTCCCCAGAACCTGAAGGGCAGAGCAAATTCTCTGGAAGGAGAGTCCAGGGCACTCTCCTCCTGCCCGGATATGACTTCAGAGCGTGGGTCCAGTGCCCTTCCTTGAGCACCATCAGCAGAGGCCTGAGACTCTACCGTGAGGGCATGTAGCATCCCTGGGTGAACTTGCCACGAGGCTGTGTGTCCCTCTTCAGGGGCACAGCTGGCACACTGCTGAGCCTGTATCAGGCACTCGGATTTACGACTCATGGCCCCACACTCAGCTCTGTGGCTGGTTGTACTCTTTTCCTTGAAATAAACCTGTAGTAAACCTTTTCTTTGAAATAGCTTCAAAATGTGGCTGGGTCAGGGCCACGACCAGTGAGGTCAGCCTGTTCCAGGGAACAGAGCAGGACTTTCAAGGAACTGAGGTTGAGCTGTTCAGTGGAAATGTGAAATTGAGGCCCCCAGGCCTGCTCTTTGCTTCCACTTGGTCACCTGGTACTTTGTCTTGCAGGCTTCGCCGTGGCCCAGTGCATAAACCAGCACAGCTCCCCGTCCCTGTCCTCGCAGTCGCCACCCTCCGCCAGCGGGAGCCCCAGCGGCAGCGGGAGCACCAGCCACTGTGACTCGGGAGGCACCAGCTCGTCCTCCACCCCCTCCACAGCCCAGAGCCCAGCAGGTACTGGCCACGTGACTCAGTGATATGGGGACTTTGGGAGAACCCCGCGATCCTTCGCCATGACCAAAACCCCTGACCTCCAGGTCCTCCTTGTCACAGCACTTGAAGGATGCTGCAACTCAGGTTATCTGCACCTGAAGCCTCTATAGATTCCTCTAACTTGATGTTCCCTTCCGGGCTGGGTCAGCTCCCAGATGGGGAAGAATTGCTCCTTTTTCAGGCCGGTCCCCACCGAAGCTGTCACTGACTGCAGAGCTGATGGGCAACAGGCCTGCTGCACCTAAACCCACCCCATCATCACCTCCACAGTCTTAAGTGTCACAAGGAGGGGTCTCCTGAGGGGATTGTTTGCAGTCTGGGAAAAGAATCGTGTTCCTGCTAATTATTTTTTTTTCCTCTGTAACATACCAGTTTTGTCCTTAAATGTGGTGCGGTCCGGTTCTCCGAGTAGGCATGCACTTTGCCACTCTTTGGTAGGATGTGATGAAGTCGTATCCTGCCATCCTTCAACTTACTCCACTTCAGACATGGCACAGAGGGAACCCGGGAGTGAATGGGAGCCCCTGGAGTCAGCCTGGAATGGGACATGCCCCGGCTCCTCGTTCTCGGCTGCCGTGAGCTATTCACTGCATGAGATGTGGGGGAGTACAGACACCAGGCCTGTGGAACAACATGGCCCCAAATTGTAGCCAGAGGAGCAGAGATGAGCATCCATGGCCTTGAGCCAGCGGGATGTTCTGTGCCCCAGTAGCATCCCCCCACCATGGGTCTAGGGGGTCACACCAAGTGCCTGCACCTCTGACTGGGGACCCTCAGTATCCTTCATTGTTCCTGCAAGTTCCCCTCCAGAGCCCTCACTCATCATATTTCAGGGGCACCTGGCACAGCTCTCATTAAGTTCTGGATTGATGGATCATGGCAGGAGGACACGGGCCACTGCAGAGCCAGAGAGGTCAAGGGCCCTTGGTCACCATCCTGTCAGCACCAGGAGCCAAGATCTCCCTGGGCACCTACACCTCTCTCTCTCTGGCACTTCCAGCTTTTGCATTTCCAGTTCATGCTGTGGCTCAGAGTATCCCAACCCACCTGTGTCTCTCCCATCCACACACAGTGTTACCTCCATTTCCTATTGACTTCACAAGGCCCAGGCAGGAAGGTCACCCCACAGCCACCTTACTGAGAGATCCTCTTCCACTCAGCACCTGCTCCAGGGCATGACCACCCCTTGTGAGCTATTTCTGAGCCCAATTTAAGGTTGGCTGCACATCCAAGCTGATGCCACCACTGTTGCCAGGCTTGTAGCTGGGAGATTCCGGCAGAGCTTCTTCCAGAAACTAAGGCGCATCCCCAGTAGCCCTCTTGATCCCGGTTTCATGCTTGCTCAGGGGTGGGCGTACAGGGTTGTGTGTTCATGTGCCTGTGTGCGCATCCACCCCCTGCCTGCGTGTGCACACTTCTGTATCTGCATGGGCAGCCCAACGCACATGTTTACCATTGCACTGGGAGTGAAAACTTCCTTCCCCTTATAGCTGTAGTCACCTTTCTGTCATTTTTAAGAACGTACAGCCAACAGCTAAGTGAGCAAAGAGCCATACACTTCTTTGCCTAAAGTTAAAACAAGCAAAGACCCACAGTATCAAAAATGATCAAAAATGGACTTCTGTATATGGCTGCCCACCTGAATGTGACCCCTGAAGCTTCAACTCTGCACTTTCCCAGGGCCTGGTGTCTGCAGCGTGTGCTAGTTTCTTTTTTCTTGGCCTCCCTCAGCCCCTCTGTCCCTACCCCCACCATCCCCTGCGTGGTATCAGCGCCGTGTCTTCTCATCTCAGAAATCCAGTGGCTCTTAGCCTGGCTGTCAGGTGGCTAGGCAGTCCCAGTCGATAAGTGAGAGTCAGGACCTCCGAGGTGTCTGCTCCCATTTGGTGCGTCCCCAGCATGCCTGCGTAGACGAGCGTATAGGTCCCCATTCTTTATGCAGCATGACAGTAAAAGCCTGAGGCCCAGCCTGCCTGTCCGGCTCTGCAGACACTGAGATAACTCACCTGATGAAGGGCCGGGCCCGGCGGGCAGCCTGGGCTTTACTCTTATGGATGCCTCAGGACGTAGGTATTGATCCCTGGCAGGAGAGCACATCAGAGCCCACAAGCTCCTCCCTGTCTTGAGGCCAGACTTCCACGCCACCCTGCAATCTCCCTCCCAGTCCACCCAGAACAAAGCATATGGGCTTTCCATGTTCCTTGTAGGAATGGGTCTAACCAGATGGTTCCAACATCTGCCTGCTGTTCCACCAAGACGCAGAGGAGAGAAAGCCAAGGGCAGGAGAAGGGAGACAGCTTTGTTGGGATGGGAGCCCTTCTGCCAGTTGCCTGATTTGACATCAGCTCAGAGTGCGGCCCAGCATTCAGGCTTCTGATGAAGGAAGGTCACCCTGCATGGCTCGCTCACCCTATTTTCCACCCACCAGGGACCTGGCCCTGATCCACCAGGGATGACATCCTTGAAGGGCCAGCCAAGCAGCAGGGTGGGCCAGGACCTCTCCTCCAAGCTCATTCATCCTAACCGCCCACTGCCTTCGGCCTAGACAGCAGAAGACAGCTGCAGCCCCCACAAGGGGCAGCTTGTCCTCAAAGTGGTTTTTGAGGGCACAGTGCTAAGTCAGAAGCGTTCCCGTCTCTGTGATTATGGAGCCTCCCAGAGTCCGGGAAGCTCCCCCTTGTAGAGAGCGGCTGCCAGACCCTCTGAAGTGAGAACTAGCAAACCCCAGTGGCTTCTTTGCCATTGATTTGTTTTTTCGTTTTTTTGTTTTTGTTTTTTTGACACAGAGTCTTGCTCAGTTGCCCAGGCTGAAATGCAGTGTCGCAATCTTGGCTCACTGCAACCTCCACCTCCCAGATTCAAGCAATTCTCTCACCTCAGCCTCCTGAGTAGCTGGGATTACATATGCGCACCACCATGCTCAACTAATTTTTGCGTTTTTAGTAGAGATGGGGTTTCACCATGTTGGCCAGGCTGATCTTGAGCTACTGACCTCAAGTGATCCACCCACCTCGGCCTCCCAAAGTGCTAGAATTACAGGCATGAGCCATCACACCTGGCCCTCCTTTGCCATTGAATGCACACTTTGCATGGCCAGGTGTTTGGTTGGGAAAGTACACAAGATATGCCATCCCCCGAGTGATGAGACGGGCCCAGTTTTCCATAGCTCTGGCCCACGGTTTTGAACACTTGAATTGTTCAAGGAAGTTGTTGAAAGCTGCGAGTGACCTTCATGCTGTTTTGACAGTTGTTGTGGCCCAGGCACCCACCAATCAGCGTGGGCTCCTGCTGTAGTAGCCACAGCAGGGCCTTCTCAGTGTGCACCTGCTATGTGGCGTCCCAGGTGGACACTCCTGAAACTGAGCCCGCCTGTGCCAGACACCATGCTTGTAGGCACTTCACAGAAGTCCCCTTGTTAAATCCTGCCACGCTGCACCTCACACTGTACAGTAGAAAACACAGAGGCCCAGAAAGGTTGTGCAACTTGGCCCAGAGGATGCGGCTAGCCGGCAGAGGAGCCAGGAGCTGAAGCCTAGCCTTCGCAACCCTAAAGCCCATGCCCACCTTCTGAAACAGCTAGCAGAATATCTGATGCGGTTTCCAAGACTGTCTCAGGCACCTCCAGGGTGTCCCAGAGACCCGGGCCCCAGTGTGGATCGTGGTTGGAGGCAGCCCATGAAATGTGTTTCTCCTTCCAACATGGATGGCCGCTCTAGGGCCCAAGTGAAAAGTCACGGCCCCACTCGTGAAGGCCTGCTAACATGTGCAGCCCCAGCCGTAGAAGGCTGGGTGGTGTGAACCCCTGTGGGAGGAAGGCTTGGGGCTTTCTTAAAATCAGTAACAAAGTGGACCCCAGGGAGCCCACGTGGGTTCATCCCACATGAGGCAGTGAAACAAGCTGATGCTCAATTGGGTTTTCCGCCTCCACCCTGTGTCCAGCTCAGGGGACCTTAGGTTTCCTGCCTGGGGTTGAAAACTCCCCACATTTATCCCAAACATGTTCTCACTTTCCTGTGGGGACCTCAGCCTCGCTCCCAGGATTTAGGCTCAGGCTGTCCTCTTGGTTTTGTGGACTTGAGAGCTGATCCAAGCGGTCCCTCCACCCGCCCAGCCCCCACGTGGCCTTCCATCCTCTTAGTGGCTCATCTCCCTGGATCTCATCTTCCCTGGGTTTGGGCACTCCACTCCCTGTCTCACTGAACTATTTTTTTCTAAGCAAGCAGGATTAGGATAAGTCCCTACTGTGCACAGCATTCGGGATACAATGTGGCAAAAAGCATGATCTTGCAGGCAGGCGGGGTGGCTGAGGCCTATCAGGTGGCCACCCAGAAGCACGTGCAGTTACAAACTGTGACAAAGGAAAGGTGCAGTAGGTTCCCACAGCTGACACAGAACAGCTGCGGGAGGCTCCCAGAGGTGGCATTGCTGGAGATGACAGCTGGGGGACGAGGGGTTGGCGAGGCCCTGGTCCATGAGGAAGGTGGCCTTTGGGTCTCACATGAGTCCACCAGGGCCTGAAACCACAATCTCCTGGAGACCAGTGGATTCCTTTTGCCCATCTCCCTGGGGTCTGCCTGTACATTCTGTCTTCCCAAATGCAGACAGGCTGTGGGCAGGGGAAGGACACCTTTGAGGAACAGTCCCCATGCCCATCAGTGCCACAGCCTATGGCCCGGTGGTAGCTTCAGGCCCAGCACAGGCGAGGGACTCTCAGCCGGAAGGGGGAAGGGGACAGCCCCGAGGGGTCACTGGCTCCCTGGTCACCTGGAGGCTCCCTCTGGGTGCAGCACCTGCCTCTGAGCCTCATTCGCACACCAGAGGCAGAGCTATGGGTGCCCTGGAGTGGCTCTTTCAGTGCCGGCCCCAGACCAAAGGGAGAGTCGACACTGAACTCCCTGATGACCCGAGTAACTGTGCCCCAGGGCACTTTAATGGCCGGTCCTTTCGAGAAGTGCGGTGAG